CACAACAAAACTTCTTTGGCAAGAGAGCGAGAAAAATTCAAAGGACATTTCTTCATTATTTATCTTCAAATACTCTATCTGGACTCTTATAAGTCCCTGATCTAGYCGGCTGTAGACCTAAACACTMTTTTAATGGCATCCGTGCCGAATTCGTCGGCCGTAAGGGCTCTCCATTTAGAACTGAGAAAGCTTACCGAAGAACCCGTCGAAGGCTTTCGAGTGAAGGTTCCTGATGAAAGCAATCTGTTTGAATGGGATGTAGCGATCTTTGGCCCTCCAGGAACGCACTACGAAGGCGGATACTTTAAAGTAGGCATTCAATTCAAATTATACCTAAATAAGTGGTCGATCACTAATGTTTTTGGCATGTTTCTTTGTAGGCTCACATGTCTTTTCCTCAAGATTATCCGTATTCTCCGCCGACCTTTCGTTTCCTTACAAAAATGTAYCATCCAAATATCTATGAGGTTTGCAGATCTTTAAGTATTTATCCTCCGAAATGACATCTTAAGACTCTAACGTGAGACTTTGTTTTTTTGTAGTCCGGAGATGTATGTATTTCAATTCTACATCCCCCAGTAGACGATCCTCAAAGTGGCGAACTTCCGTCAGAAAGATGGAATCCAACTCAAAACGTCAGGTAAAATATGTTATTCGATATAACTTGAAGAAAGCTCGAAATCTTTAACTTCTATAATATGATACAGGTTATGGATTACCTTTATTGTATTTTTCAAAACAAAATGGTTAAGTTTTTATCAAGGAAACTTTTCTGCATTTTTAATGTTTTCGTGAAAAAAAATCTGAATGAAAAGTTGATTCGAGACAATTCCTTTCTTTCAGTTTAGCTCGATTTCTTTGTAACGATAATTAMCATCAAGCAATTTTCCATTAAATTGGCATTAACTAAGTTTTATTTCACCTACAAGAAGTGTTTTTCGCATTTTCGCATGTCTATCTGACGACAACGTGCTCGAAGGATTCGATTCGCTGCTTAACAATGAAAGGTCTTAATATGGTTTATTCATGGCTTTCTTTGCCGTATTAGCAGTATTAATATTGACTGAGGCATTGTATATTCCTTTATTGTATGTAAAATGGTATTTTATGATTCTTTTTCAAGCAAAAGCTTGCTTTGGCCACTCACACGGCTTGGCTGATTATCAATGCCAGGTGGTATCTGTATGTTAAGCCTTGTTTGTATTTTGTAATCGTCAAAATTATCCTTAAAATAGAGTATTTGATCGTATAATTATGCAAACCGTGTGTGATTTTTCTTTTCAGCAAGAGAATAATAGTTYTGATTGTACAGTACATGTACATAAAGTGCGAACTCCGTTTTCGATAACAATCAATATATTTTACGTATAATTAATATTTTGTACCTGTCTGGTGTTGTGCATTGCATTAAATACATACAAATATTGATGTTTCTTGTTATATTGTATTTACTGACAAGATGGCTGTAATGAATGTAATGTTTCTTCCAATCTATCTGTACTTGAATGTATGTTGTCCGGCTATCATCTGTTAACAAGCTGTCAAAAACCAATAGAAGTGGGGTAAAATCAATCTTTTTATGCAGTGCTGCAAAAGCACCCAATATTTGCAATGATGATGATATCATGATGATGCCAAAATTAATTCATTCTATTTTCCTTACTTTTATACTGGGAGTTGAGTTACACGTAACTCTTTATATTATAATAGTATGCATGCCTGGCAATATACTACTTTCATACTTTGAGGTCCATCTATCTGCTGTATCATTTTGTTTACTTTATTAATACTATTTGTTTGCTAAACAAAAATAAATAAAAACAAAAACAAACAAGGAAAGTATAATAATAAAAAAAACAAAAGATTCTCAATAAAACTGTTCAAATTGTGGTGTCTTAGCATAGAGCCTTTGMAGTTTGTGGAAATGCAGCTCTAACTGGAGGACAAATGAATAGATTCTAGTTTCCWAAAGGGCAAAAACCTTTTGTTTTGTCCTTCAGATGAAGCTGCTTTGACGTCATATGCAAGGGGTCTAAAGAAAACTATCTATTTTCTTTCAATTTYCCTTGAAAAGAGTGAGATATAAACAATTAGACTAAAAATTAGAGCTTATTAATAAGATAACAATCACAGGAGACACTGAATTCCTTGATTTTAGGCRTAACTACTACAGTAGTACATACACTAGATTTCTTATCATATAAACTACATGTAGTGTTGCACTGGTATGAGCTGCCTTGGTGTTTCTAAAGAAATAGTTGAGAAATAAAATAAATTTTAACACTGTAAAAAGAAGTGAAATAACTTACTAATGTTTCAGATGTTAAACTTTTGCTTTACTCCAACTCTGTATGAAAAACATCCAAAACATCTTAAGTTATTTCACTTAATTTATACATGTTTATCATTTATCTTTTATCATTTATTTCTTTTATCATGCTTGTTTTTTTTTCTTTCAGAACAATTCTGCTTAGTGTAATATCTCTTCTTAATGAACCAAATACATTTTCACCAGCTAATGTTGATGCTTCAGTTATGTTTCGTAAGTGGAGGGATTCCAAAGGAAAAGATAATGAATATGAAAAAATTATCAAGTAAGTGAAGAAGTCTACCCAATGTATGTCACTGTTGTACATGTACATAACATGTATATCATGATATATTTGATATATAGAGACAAAGAGAGGCATTATGCTCATTGTGGAGAGAGGTATGATAGCTTATAGAAGCATGACTGCCTATGTAGTATAGAGAGAAAATACTGTAGTGGAGAGAGGCATGATGGTCTAGTAGAGGGTGAGGAATGATGGTCTAGTTTAGAGAGACATTATGATCTGTAGTGGAGGGAGGCATGATTGTCGAGTAGAGGGCGTGGAATGATGGTCTAGTAGAGGGAGTGGAATGATGGTCTAGTTTAGTGAAACATGATCTGTAGTGGAGAGAGGCATGATGGTCTAGTAGAGGGAGAGGCATGATGGTCTAGTAGAGGGAGAGGCATGATGGTCTAGTTTAGTGAGACATGATCTGTAGTGGAGAGAGGCATGATGGTCTAGTAGAGGGTGAGGAATGATGGTCTAGTTTAGAGAGACATGATCTGTAGTGGAGGGAGGCATGATGGTCTAGTAGAGGGAGAGGCATGATGGTCTAGTTTAGAGAGACATGATCTGTAGTGGAGAGAGGCATGATGGTCTAGTAGAGGGGGTGGAATGATGGTCTAGTTTAGAGAGACATGATGTTTAGAGAAAGGCATGATAGTGTAAGAATAGGCATGTAATACAAGGTAAGAAATGAAGAGGAATTATGAAACATGATGGTCTGGTATAAGTAGAAGTGTGGAGGTTTAATATAATAGTGTTTAAATAATTTATGAAGTTTTGTCTGTGTCTAGAGTAAACAGTGAGAGACGTGGTCACAATTTTAATTATAAAGACTAGGCATTTTGATTTTCTGGAGTAGAGAGAGACATTAAAACCTTAAAATTGAGGTCTAGTATAGTGAGGCATGATGGTCTAGTGGAGGGGACTATGGTCTAGTAAAAACAAAAAACAGTCAGAGAGAGGGAGAGAAAGCGAGATATAATGGTTGGATATGATTGCAAAATGTAGTATGGATTGTCAGTTATTTGGACACTGTCCCAGACACATTACATCTTTATTATTTTATCTTTTATAGAAAACAAGTTCAACGTTCAAGACTGGATGCTGAAAAAGATGGCATTCATGTTCCTACAACTGTCCAAGAATACTGTATCAAATCAAAACCTACCAAGTCAGAGAGTGACGACTTTACTGACTTTTATGATGATGATTACGGTGACGACATGAATGATTTCGATGATGATGATGAATGTATGGAATATAGCGAAGATTCTGGCAATGAAGAAACATGACGGAAAAACTTAACCCTGTACATTTTCTACTTTGTATCATACAGCAGTATTACCTAATATAAGATCAAACTCTAACAATATARGAAGAAGATATGAAAGGAAAGCCTTTGAACAATCAGCCACTTACATCTCACAAGAATCCCTTCCAAGAACAACCATCCAAACTGCACTAACAATTTGTATCCAGAGATTTTCAAAGAGCTTTTGATGTGATAGTGATGAATATAACTATAGCAATGTAATATAATACTGTTATAAGGAAGAGGTGTCTGTATTAATGTATAATGAAAAATTGTGTTTTTTCCTAAAATTAAAAAGAATAATCAGCATTTATTACTTAACCGCATTTGTTGAATAGAGTGAAAAGTTAATATGTGCTTGATCTATTGCTTTAATGCATCAATGAATGTTATCCTAGAAAAATTTTGCTCAGGCTCAATGAAACAATAGCCAGTAAAATATGTAAGAGAAGCTACATTGTGCAAAAAGCTGTATGGAAGAATTGAGTAGAGTGATCACATTAAACCGTGCAACTGTACAAAATCTAAGTAGTACTTGTCTAATTTGCACTAAAGCAAGATGGTATTAATGCTTCATTTGTATCAATTTRATTTTGTACCACATGCATGATTTACTAAATTAGGACTAAATAGCACTATTTAGTTTGTACAGTTGCACAGTTTAAAGGGACACTGTCAATGGATGACATGTGCRAGTAAACTTGAAAACACTAGGCTAGTGTTTTCAAGTTTATGACTCCAAGTTGGCGCGACATAAATCAGATAGTAAACGTAAACAGATCTAGAATATTCCAAAGTGTGTCAAAAGCACCACAAAATGATTTACCTCGAAGGTTATACTTTCAAAGTCCGTTAGAGGTGAGACTGTTACTGCACATGTCATCCATTGACAGTGTCTCTTTAAGTGCAATCACACTCTATTGATGTTTTGGCCAAATTGTTCATAAGACTGAGCAAAAGRCTGGGGTTTTCCAGGAAAGTTGATAGACAACTCTCTCCTGATCATCATGCACAGTGGTGGATATCTCCACTGATGGATATATAGGCTGCACTCCACRCAAGATGGCTGCAAATTGAAGAATATGGGAAATAGGATTGAGAAAGTGTTAAAGTCAACAAGGTAGTGKCTTRGCTTTTATATCTCTTTATAGGGATGTATTTTATTGCTGTGGAAGCATTTTGTCAAGAGACAGCTTCACTGCAGCAATTTTTAAAGTGTGTGAGTATGTGGAGGGATGATTAATACGTTTGACTAACATTTTGAAAATGGGGAGGYCGGAGTGGGTTTGAAAACAAGGTCTCGAAGCATTTCATGCATCCTTTAAAGGGAGATACAACTGGGCTTTTTTAAGCTTGAATTTGTGTTGCCTAGTTATTGTAAGTAATAATATTATGTGCATGCTATGCATTGGCAGTTTTTCAATTTTGAGTTTTCCAGTGACAAGCTACTATACTGTCAATGTCCAGGTGTACAAATAAACATCTTTTTGCCACAGGAAACCCAAAGCCAGCACATCACTCTCGGTTGATAAAGATCAGATATCAGTATGGATGAACATCTCAGATAAGTACAATGTTCTAGATGATTTTGCTTGACTATATATAAAACCAGTAATACAACAAGGTAAAAAAATCCTTCAATGTAAAAATAAAGAAAAAAGAGGACAAGAATATGGAAAAACAAGTATACATTCTCGTACCCAAATTTTTCTCAGTTTACCATTGGAAAATTGAAGGCTCTGTCTGGAAACAATAATGAAAGAAAGTCGGTTGTAATACATTATATGCATATAGTGATGGCTCATGGAATTTTCGAACTAAACCAAAGCCTTAATATATTTGTTTCCAACCATTGGGAAACTGAGATGGATCTGGGCAAGAGAATGCAATAATACAAGTATATGTATAGTAAAGCTATAGAAAACTTAAAAAGAGTAAGATAAGGCACGAAAAAATCCTCTCCGCGAGACCTCTCTCCGCGACCAACCCTCATCTTTCCCAGGAGTCATTGCGCGATTCAAAATAAAACTTGTTCCCAGTCTCTCGCCATAGTTATAAAAACAAGATGGCGGCAAAGATGGCAATTCTCTGGATTCCGATTCAAATGGTTTGTATGTGTGTGTAAGGCATGGAAGTCTCACAGAAGAACAACGAAGTTCGTTTGTTTCGTGCTAATGTTCTCGCTCCGAAAGATGAGCTCGAAGAGGTATGTGTCAATGCCGAAATTTCTTTTTCTGAGAAGTTGACATCGTTATCAACGAACAATGTACTCGTATGCTTAAGCTAACTTAATTTCAATAGAAACTTGAGAAGTGCCATGATGTGGTGAACAGTACTGTGTCTGGGTTATCAGATCGAGAAGCACACGATGCCCTGAATCAAGCAGTAAGTGTGGATGGATTTTAGTCCTATTCTTTATAAACTTGATAAGCTTTAAGCTTTTATAAATACTGCAATTTGAAAATCGACGATCAAGACMTTTCAAATAAATGTATATTACTCCTTATGTAGTCCTTATGTAGTACTACAAATTTATATCTTGTATCATGCACTGTACATGTAAAGGCAAATAACCCACAGTAATTAGATGTTATAGTCATGGAAAATATCCCGGGGGAGGGGAAGGGGGGGGTACTCCCATATATTTGCTATACGGGGACGTTCCGCTGGCCAGGGTATGGTTTTTGGCCTTCCTGTCTTAAACAGGTGGGTATACATCTCAACCGGATTGTCTTAAACAGGCTAGCTACAATTTAGATAAAAGACCGAGATAATTTTTTCGTATGTCTTGGACAGGGTAATATTTTCGTAAGAAATACCGTAGAAATAGTAGAAATAACRTTTCACTGTAACAGGATTAACGTGTTGTCAGTATAACTACAATKTTGATGGTTGCGGCGTAGATACAGATTCCTTATTTTTCCGATTTGTCTTGAACAGGGTATGGATTTTTACTTTCTAGTGTCTTAAACAGGGTCAGGGTGGCGGCACGTACCTATCCAAAATGGGGTCAAGTACCCCCCCCCCCCCATATATATGTAGCCATTATAGCTGATGATTGTGAAACAACATGCATGAAGTCACTATCTAGCTTGTTTTCCTTGTCTATTCAATGTTTATATTTGTCTGGATTAGGTTATACTGATTATATTACGTTTAGCTTATATTTTACAGAGTAAGTGTTTGACATTATGATGTATATTATATATTGTGCCCGTAACTAGGGGTGCAGGTGGTCCRAAAGGCACCCAACTCTTCTCCCCACCCCACCCCCCATAAAACATCAACTGTATGGGGCTTTATATGCACTATCATGTTTATGTTGTATTATTTGAATTGCGTAAAATTCAGTTTTAGAAATTCCATCAATTTCTTGTTTTGTATTTTAATAAAGCAGTTGTTTATATTCTTTAGTGATCTTGATTTATACTGACAATAGGTTTGTAAGAGCGTTCAACTCCATGAGGATATCTCACTTGGTTTATTGTACAGCATACTAACAGATCCTTCATTAGCACCAAAGGTATCAGGAATATATCATTTTATCATATAATTATCTATGAAATACCTATATTTCTCCATTTCTCCAATTGATATTTTTGCTAGTGAAAATAAAGCATTTAAGGTTTCTCTAATATAGTGGAAGAAAGAAAAAAGATATTTTACGGCATAATTTGCTTTCATGAATATGCTTTCGCTACGCTCACTCGTGAGATCTTTTCAACACTCGAAGATAAAATACATATCTCCGCGCGCCCATGTAATATCCTCTATATACTTAGTTAACAAAATCACAGACAATAGTTTGAAATACATTTCTCAAAGCAGTGAAATCCTTTTCGACATATTTTAAACAACAATTTCTATAAGATGCTTCATATTATTATGCTCACAAATAAAATATATATCATGATAATTGTACCTGCTACAGTCTGACACAGCAGTCACCACTTGTCAATAGGCCATATTGTACAATGGGTAGTACCAGAAAATATCTGTACCATATGACGGGCGGCATCGATTTTCGACCCCCCCCCTCTCCTAATGAAATTCCAAAATTTGGTATCCCCCCTCTCCTTAGGATTTGCAAAATTGTGTTTTACCCCCTTTGGAAATCAGGTTACCCCCCTAGAAAATGAATGAGAATAAATATTCTCTTGAAAATAAGCACTTTTTTTGAATTACTTATCTTTTACTCTGTCTAGTTAACGTCTATTAACAAGTAATGCTCAAACAGATAAGACTCGTGAGAAAAAAAGAAATGTTATCTGCGGCCGAGATGCCATTCTGTGCACAGATGATTTAAACTTTGTTAAAATGACTCGAAAATAAGACGTGTTGCTGTCAATGTACGTATTTTGTATGAATATATAGTTTTAGATGTTTTTGTCGTGGTTTTCAAATGTTTTTATAATGATTTTTTCGACTGTTAGATCGTGGTCTACGTCCAGTCTACATAAGTCCCGGTTAAGTCTAGGTCCCCCCTCCTTTGGATTTCCGAAATTGTCTTACCCCCCTCTCCCTTGGAATTCCAAAATCAATGACCTGGGCCCCTCCCCTCTTGATTTCTGAAATGCCACCTGTTGTATGGTACGGATATTTTCTGGAACTATACCCAATGTTGCATACAACAATGAGACTGTGGCTTGCAACAAGATGCATATTAAACCAGATCCCCCATCCATGTTGACCATTGATGGCAAGCATGACCACACTTCTATGCATTTGAAAAGGAGGGCAAAGGAGGTCTACAGCAGACTAATAATTTTATTACTAATACTTTACTAATAATATTATTTTGAGGGGACAGGGTGGTCTCATACTGTATATTTTGTCCCCTGTTGTGGACTAGCTAGATTATTGGATGGTTGTTCTTATAGGCCTACCGTGATATGTCATTCATCACACGTGATGGACTTAACATGATCATCAATAAAGTTGTTGGGATAGTTACAGACAAGTATGCAAAACTAAACGAAAAAACAAGAGCACAGGTATAATGAAAGCTGCCTTGAATTCCATTGTTCTTTCGTAATTACTGTAAGAATCTACTGGATGCTTTATTAAATATATCAATAGGCCCTTTGCAGCTGGGGGCCATGTGATCATACCTACCTTAAGTCAATCAGCTATCAAAAAAAAAAAAAATGAAAAAAAGAAATGGAAAGAGCAGGTTTATGTTGGTCTCAAGTCTCAACTCTAAATACTTCAAAAATGACAGCAAATGCAAAATATTGATTTTTCTAAAGAAACGTATGGGAAAATAGAACTGGAGAGCAAGGCATGCTGTTTTTGCACATAAAAAATGATTTTATATTTGCTATCAATTTTGAAATATTTAGTGTTGAGACTTGAAACTGTGTCTTCTTAAATATTTTGATCCCCTCTTTTTTTCTGAACATCATTTTTTGATAACTGATTAATTTAAGGTAGGTGTGGTCACGTGACCACCAGCTGCAAAAGACCTATTGAGTGAGAAAGCCAAAAGGTTTGAGTCAGACAATTTGATGTACAAACACAAATTATTTTATGATAGATTATATGGCTGGCTTCGGAGTTAGTAAAGAACTCTGTGATGGGAACTGAAAATCTGTGTGCGGCACTTCTACGCCAGATTGTTGGAGGAGATGTTACTCCCCCAAACATTTGGCTTGTGGAATCCATGTTGAATATCCTTAGTACCAACAGGTGAGAAATTACAGAAATTACCTATTATCATAAGACCTGTATTTCAGCTCTACGCGYGCCCTTAAAAAACCTTAGGGAAATGGTCATGTGATGGGGGCCGTAGCCTTTTCGCGACATGGCTGTACAAACCTGTATCTTCTTCGCTGCACTGGTTCCGTACGGCATAAYCTAGAGCCAAATATTTTCCCRTACGGGCCTCCCACTYWGTCAATAAGTACATATCATGCAGTAATTTTGTMGTGTTGTGTGCTGTCAACATTACAGTTGTCTGCATCATAGTGCAATCACCAAAACAATATGTGGCATAAGATTAACAATATTGGTACTACATTGCCATAAAATCATATGATCAGACAACATTTGTTAATAGAACAAACAGGGGCAGAAAATAATGACATATTTATATGACATCTTCATAACCCCACTTCCCTTTGCCCAATGATGAAAAMGTAAATAAAACCCAATATCAAAATATCATTTTGTGGTATTTCAGGAGTTGGTTGGAAAAGAATTCCTTGTTTCTTGCCACATCACTCTACTGTTACTTACGCCTGATATTAGATCATGAAGCTCCGCCATTCAAGAATCTACAGACACAGGAAATTGAATTCTGTGTCTCACTGTTAAGAGACCGGGTACACTTTGAACATTTACTGAAATTGGAACCTTTCTAACATTCTGCTGTCAATCATTAGCATCACATTGTTTTGTTCTTGTTTGTCATTAGTTTGCAGACTGTATTCCAATTGGYCGTGATCTTGTTAGATTATTACAAAGTGTTGGAAGGTAGGCAACAACATAAAGCCCAGATTTGGCACAAGGTTAATAAGGAATAGGTTTTTTGTTATTAACTGTTCTGTTGTTGATTATAGAATCCCAGAGTTTCAAAGTGTGTGGAAAGATATTCTCCATCGACCACAATCACTAATGCCTCAATTTACAGGTTAGTGCATCTTACATCTGGAACTGGTTTTTTGAGTAACCCTTATACATGTATATCATTCCTTTAAAAAAACCTCAGAATTAACCCTGGATTAATTCCAAGAGGGCTTATAACAATGTAATAAGGAAAAGAGGGTTGTCCAATACACATGAAACTACAAAAATGTAGATTGAAAAGTCCATCTGTCTTTGACAGTCATTTCGTCAATGAACGAAGATGGGCCCCCTTTTATAAAGGTTACCAGAAGTCATTTGGTAATTATGCTAATGAGAATGTGGGCATTCAGAAATACATGTATTTCAACATCTTGCCTGAGGGAGCCTTAGAGATGTTGACCATTGGTCTTGTTTCCTTTGAAAGGAACCAATAAAACTTACTTATACAAATGTAATTGTATTTGTATTTACTATTGTATTTTTTAACCAGGATTGACACAACTGTTGAGGGTAAGGACATCAAG